CTGTCTGCCTGCCTGCCTGTCTGTCTGTCTGTCTGTCTGTCCACATTATCACCTCACCATTGCATATCTCCTGTAAAAGACTTATTTTTCGCCTCATTCTATTTGTTGTCTTTATATTTTTACTTTTAGAATTTTAGTTTTATGTTTAATTTGCTGATATCATGATACCACCTTTTAGCTGTTATGTCAGGGATCGTAAGAAAGGCGCTGTTGGAAAATATATAACTCATTTTTGGAAATTGCCACTGTTGGGAAACACTGTGTTACTCTCGCTTAAATAAGGGTGTCCTTGTATAAAGCACTATTTGGTCAATATTAAACACAGAACATTTCTGTATATACAACTTCCCTTCTCTTTTTGTCACCGTCAACCTTTTCTTGTGGTGGAAAAGAGACGGAAAATGTCAGTGGAGAGATTCAGGGTCACAGGGAAGAACAACAGCATCTAAAGGAAGAAAGAGAGAAGGAGAGACAGGAGCTGGAAGCGTGGAGAGCGGACAGAGAAACAGAGGAGATGGAGCTTCACCAAATGAGATGTGAACTCCAGAGAGAGAGGGAGGAGGTGGAGAAAATGAGGGACATGATCAAGAAAGAGAAGGAGTCCATGAACCGGAAGAATAAAACACAGAGTAAAAGTGTGGAAGCACAGAAAAGCCCATTCAGAAAATGTCAGAGTATGGATGCTATTAATAACTTAGGTAAGTAAAGATACTCTGCTTGCAAAATCAAATTATATCACCATTTATTCACATTAAAATCATAGATTAGTTAAATTTTTGTAAAAAAAAATATCAACATATGGCTGCAACATAACAAAATGTAAAAAAAGTGAAGAGGCCTGAATTCTTTCTGAATACAAATTCTGTGCTTTCTCAGTATAGATGATAACAGACATTAGGCTGCACATGTTTGTTAGAGAAGACGTCTAGCTAGTTAATTATCTGGTCAGAATTTGCAGTTATTTAACTGAATTTTGAAAACTACATATTTTCCTGGTGCACCATTCTAGGGGTTAAGGATCAGATAAAGCAGGAGAAGGAGTCCAGGAGCTTATTAAGAAAATGTCAAAGTCTGGACCGCAATTTTAAATTTGGTAAGTAAAGACATTCTGGATTACATACAGTCAAATACTGCTAATACAATTTGACTGCATTCTTAATAAAACAACAACGTTGTATGTTTCGCCTCAGTTACAAAAAAAGATGTTTATTGAATTTAAACTTTAATTTTAATGTCTTTATCTACAAAGTTTTACTCAGATCCTTCATATGTCTTAGGACTGCTTATGGGGCCCATTGTCCCACAGAAGGAGCAGGCCAATCCCCACCCGGTTACGGTCTTTGATTCCTCCTCATTTCCTGTTGCAGCCAGTGCCCCTGAGCTCCGGCTGGTGCTTCTGGGGAGAAGTACAGCTGAGAAAAGCTTAATAGCAAATGGCATCCTGGGCAGAGAGGTGTTTGTGTCTGGGACGCCCTCACCGACAAAGGTCCAGATGAGCAGCCAGATGAAACACAGGACCGTTGCCGGGACACGGGTGGTGGTGGTGGTGAATACTCCAGACTGGTTTAGCTCTACGGTGTCCCAGTTTCAGCTGTGGCAGGACGTCAAACACTGCATGGAATTGTCAGCTCCAGGACCCCATGCTTTTCTCTTGGTCACAGAGATGCACGAGTATGGAGAGGTGCAGGCAACAATATTAGAGAAGATGAGGGAGATACTTGGAGATGACTGCTTTCCACACACCATCGTCCTTCTGACTCATGCCAGTGAACTGACAGAGAGCATCACTGGAGGCTTTGTGCATACTGGCAGCCCAGACCTCCAGAGAATAATTACCAGATGTGGTAACAGGTATCATATCCTCAACACTAGTAACAGGCCTGAAGGCCATCAGATCCGCAGGTTGCTGGAGACCATAGAGAAGATGGTTGAAGAAAACCAATGGAGCTTCTACAGCAGTGAAATGCATATGGAGGTGATGTCTCAGATTCAAGAGGTGGAACAAAAGCTCCAGAGGGAAAGAGCCGAGAGGAAACTGAGAGAAGAACTGGAAGCGAAGGAGAAGTTTGAGAAGGAGCTGCAAGAGACTCTGAGGGAGAAGGAGGTCGTGATTCAGGTACAGAAAGAAAAGATTACAGTCCTGGAGGAGAGGATAGTTGAATTGGAGGAAGAGCTGAAGGAAGAGAGGGATGAAGAAAAGAAAAAAGAACTTGAAGAAAAACTGAACAAAGAGGTGGAAATGAGGAATGTTACGGAAAAAGAGGTTAAAAGACTCAAGGAGGAAGCTGAGAAAGAAAAAAGTGAGCGGGAGGAGAAACACAGACAAGAGATTGAAGAGATCAGGGACGAGGAGAAGGCTCAGGCTGAAGCAGAAAGACACGTGATGAAAATACTGCTGTCTGAACTGTCTAGCAGACTACAGTCCACATTAAAAACCAAGACACACAATGAATATGAGAGGCAGACTGAGGAAAAGAACCATGAAATAGCTGCTATAAAGGAAGCGTGCAGCAGAGAGATAGAGAGAGTGCAGAGGCTGAAGAATGAAGAGATGCAGAAGTTACAGACAGAGATGAACAGAGAGATAGAGAGAGTACAGAGGCCGAAGAATGAGGAGATGCAGAAGTTACAGACAGAGATGAACAGAGAGAGAGAGAGAGTGCAGAGGCTGAAGAATCAGGAGATGCAGAAGTTACAGACAGAGATGAACAGAGAGATAGAGAGCGTACAGAGGCTGAAGAATGAGGAGATGCAGAAGTTACAGACAGAGATGAACAGAGAGATAGAGAGAGTACAGAGGCTGAAGAATGAGGAGATGCAGAAGTTACAGACAGAGATGAACAGAGAGATAGAGAGAGTACAGAGGCTGAAGAATGAGGAGATGCAGAAGTTACAGACAGAGATGAACAGAGAGATAGAGAGAGTACAGAGGCTGAAGAATGCGATGATGGGGGAGATGGAGA